TAAAGAAGTGCAGGAATTAATTGCTTTGCTTGGTGTTCTAAGCCAGACTTTCCACCCCACACTGTATGCCAGAAACCACTTAGGGCCATGTGCTGCAATTTTCAAGCTGTGTCTGCAGCTTCTTGCTGTTTCTGTGGTGCTTCTTTTGTCCTCTCTCTTTGGGTTCTTTCTTCACCCTGCATTCCCCTACACCGTTACACAAACAATGATCTGCTGAGCCCCTGCCCATGTGTCCCAAGTCGTTGGGCTTTGGTCAGAGAGCTGGACTTGTCTTTTGAATGCTTCACCTTCATCTGGAAAGAACATCAGTAGTTATACCCAACCTATAACAGTAACATTTCTAGAGCCATGATGTGAGCAGTCTGGTTTTCATCTGTTCCCCCAAGCAGGTGGCATGCAATGTTTTTTGCATCACTTGTAAGAATCAGATATTTTGACTACTAGCTAGGTACAGGTGCCTTCCAACACGGTCACTTGGCAAACACGTATTTAGTCAAACACAGCATAAGAGATGCAGCGGTATCCTGCGAGGTACATTAGTAAATTGTTTCATATAATCATAGGCTGGAAGAGACCTCAGGAGGTCGTTGAGTCCAACACCCTGCCCAAAGCAGGACCAACCCCAACAAAATCATCCCAGCCAGGACTTTGTCAAACCGGGATTTAAAAACTCCTAGGAATAGAGATTCCACCACCTCCTTAGGTAACCCATTCCAGTACTTCACCAGTCTCCTAGTGAAATAGTTTTTCCTAATATCCAACCTAGACCTCCCCCACTGTAACTTGAGACCATTGCTCCTTGTTCTGTCATCTGTCACCACTAAGAATAGCCTCTCTCCAACCTTTTTGGAATCTCCCTTCAGGAAGTTGAAGGCTGCTATCAAATCCCCTCTCACTCTTCTCTTCTGCAAACTGAATAAGCCCAAAGCCCTCAGCCTCTCCTCATAAGTCATATGCTCCAGCCCCCTAATCATATTCATTGCCCTTCACTGGACCATCTCCAATGAGTCCACATCCTTTCTATAATGGAGGGCCCAGACCTGGACACGGTACTCTAGTCCACATCCTTTCTATAATGGAGGGCCCAAACCTGGACATGGTACTCTAGATGTGGCCTCATCAGTGCCGAATAAAGGGGATCACTTCTCTGGATCTGACTAATAAGTGCCAGGCTTTTGTTGCAGATACAATGTCATTATTTTAAAACAACTAGTTTGATTCATCTTGTCTAATTTAGTTATTTCCATACAATTTGGGTCCTTGACATAGTGATTCATTCCTGGATGTGGACAAAGAGGTGAACCCTGAATATTTGTTACCCCAGAAGTTAACGATGAAAATCCCACGATTCCTGTGATAGTCTCTCCAATGCAGAGGTGGTTGGGAAATGGGGATAATTTTCACAAAAGAGTTTTGCAAAGAGGTTTACTTTTGACAGTAGTTAATTTGAAGTTTTTTACCAACTGTACTCCCAGTACACGCACTCCCAGTGTACTACATAGCAACCAACAGCAGAGTATAGAACCATTCCTACAATAGGGCTGCATCATCTACTTTCCATTTAGTTCCCTGTTGCTTGCGGGACCCACTCTCTCAGGCCATGATTGCTGACCAGTACTCATCCAGAGAGCATGCTGTCATAGATTTAGCAAAGAGCCCTGGTCTTCTGGTCATAGAAGAATTGTAAACTGGACTGCATGATGGAGAAAGTTGTGATATTACTTCCTTGATTTTAAAAGGTTTAAAAAGACGGAATGGGCTTGATTCTGCATTCACCTACAGCCCTATTAAAGTTAGTGGGGATACAGTGTGAAAGCAAAAGCAAGGCCTGTTCTTCACATGCTGCTCCTGCTCACATGAGCATTGAAGCAAATACATCTGCGAGCCTCAAGCTGCTGCTTTTTGCTATCTTTTGCTACTGTTGTGTTGTCCTAATGCTTTAACGAGCTCACTCATGTTTGCCAGGGATGGTACTTGGTCCTGCTGTGAGGGCAGGGGACTGGACTCGATGACCTCTCAAGGACCCTTCCAGTTCTATGAGATTGGATATATCCATATATTATATTACACCACTTCCCACTCTCCTCCATCTTTGTGTTCTCCAGTAGTCCTCCCAGTTCTGGGGATTAGCACAGAGTGTGAGATGCACGAGTACATCCATGCATCTTCCTGGCTATGAGAGCTACAGCATTCCAGTTGCATCCTGCTTGGACATCTCACAATTATGCCAATGGGGTGAGCATCTTGCTGACCCATCAGGGACTGGACTGGTTCCCACAGTGCTAAAAGGATGGGCCTGTCCCTGTGCCCAATCCACAGAGGCTCTGCAGCTACGGGCTTGTAACAGACCCAGATGCTGATTGTTGAGCTCACACTCTACAAAGACATTAGAGGTTGACCAGTGGGCTGCACCAAAACTCCAATGTCTTTAAATTGAGCCATTGTGCCCTGTCCCTATCTACACGCTGTTACCAGGCCAAGGAATTTCTTATGTCAACACTTTCCGGTATGTCGTGTGCAGCTCATAAAGACAGGCTCTAGGGATGGACATGAACATTATGTCTGCCTTCCAACAAAGTAATGATTACTTCATGCGCCTGACCTCACTTCTAAGATGCACTTTTTCATATATCATGTATAATATAGCATCTGGGAGAATGTCCTTCTGTTATTTACCCTCTAAAGAATCTTCCTACATCCAATCTCCTTATTGGTGTATCACTATTTTTCCCCAAACTAGATTTCCCTATAGTTACTGTAAACAATGCATGCACAAATTTTTGCAGTTAAGCTACTCTTGTCTACAGTTTTGACATGTTATGTTTCCATGCAACTTGTGCCTATGATTTTGTCATCCTGCCTACCCAAACATATAGACTTTCTGTAGATGTTATATTTCTTTTTGTGTCTGCGCACAGGGAAAAAATGGCCCCACAATGCTTACTTGGAGAAAGAGAGCATTCTAATCTTCTCTTCCCATTTTAGTCTTGCTGCAATCTATTCCCCATGTGTTCGGCTTAGATAGCCAGCACCTTGATACCTCTATAGGAGGCACCTCAGAAAAATCTAAAGCAGACAACTAAACTAGGAAGAAGTTTAATCAGAAATTTAAAAAATAAAATAACTTTGAAAATATCTATGGACAAGAGGATGTGTACAGCTGTGCTCATAACCACCATAAGGTACTTAGGTAGAGAGCTTAGCAAGCTCCTTAATACTTATATTAACCTTTCACCATTATGAAAACCTATCAGCCCATGAACAAAATTTACTTGTATTTTTTTGTTCCTTGATAACTAAAACCCAAGTGATATTTACTTCCCTATTACAGTTATTATTCAGTAATAGTGCACGAAAGATTTAACACTGTCCAAATCCATTTTGCCAAATGTAATTTGCTCATTCAATACAGAGAAGCATTTCCATACCTTAGGTAGTGAAAACACTCCTTTTTACAGTCATATGCTGTTCTCTGACCTCATCACTAACTGCTTAGTTTTGCCTATTCTAAGCTTTCATGCTTCATTGTACTGCCAATTTTAGAAGTTTTTACTTTGCCCTAGGTAGTTTATCACACCCTTTTAAAATATCATTTTAAACATTCACACTTCCGCATTATTGTGCATTTTCAGCCCCATCTCATGTCCCCTTTCCTGTTATAATCATTCTGGATTAACTATTGCACATTGTATTGTCTTCACTAAAAAAAGGTGTATTTTGAAACATTTCATGCAAGAAATCATGTAAAATTCTGTTTCACATGAAGCAAAGTGTTCAAATTAGCATGTTCTTTATTACCAAAACCTCATACTCCAACACATCCAAATGTTAGATGTATTCAGAATCTGAAAGAGTTCCAGCTCTGGATTTTGTAAATGCCCCTTGTTTTTATAAAGGACTGAACCAAAATTCCTGGGATTTGAAAATCCCCAATTGCTCAGAAACCTGATACAAATTTTGTGGCTAAAGCTATGTAAAACAAATCCTTATCTGCAACAACACAGGGGCTAACCCTCTTGTGCTGAAAGTTCTTGTCTACACGAAGGTAAACTATGTTCAAAAGTATTGAAATAAACTCCCTCTAATATAAGCCAGTCAGCACATTGCATTGAATTCATTAGAATGATTTGATTTTTAAATAGAGGAATGAGTAAAATACCAACGTATTGAAATATTTCCTATTTTACATTTGTTCAACATTTGTTTGATCTTTGTTATGAATTTTTAATAGGTGGTGAACAGAATGTGCACGTGCAAAGTGTTGGGATATGTAAAAATGAATAGGGGTCTGGAATAGTGGTAAGGGGTTTAGCCATAGTAGGCATTGCTTGTTAAGCATATCATTGATTTTACTAATAACAAATGTAAACCTATGCACTGCCCTAGCCATGCCCCAAAAACCATACTTATAAATATATAACACACTCCATATATAATCTGCCTTTTTTACTTCTCCATAGCATAACTAATAAAACAAAATACCAAGCAATTAAAGTCAAAGCCTCTAGCCCAAATACCCCACCAACAGAGAGAGAGAGAGAATGCCTAAGCCCTTCTTAATACGCTTGAGTGAGATAAAAAGGATTATCAGGAAAAGTTACCAATTATAACAGGAAAAGCTCCTCTGAGAACATGAGTCATATCAGTATTTAGCACAGGTCAGCATCCCAGATAGCTATCTAGACACCGGTTAGGCCAGTCCCCACTGGGAAATCATTGAGAATACTATTTAAATAGCAGCTGATTAACCAAGGGAAAAAATCTCTTGAGTGAGATAAAAAGGATTATCAGGAAAAGTTACCAATTATAACAGGAAAAGCTCCTCTGAGAACATGAGTCATATCAGTATTTAGCACAGGTCAGCATCCCAGATAGCTATCTAGACACCGGTTAGGCCAGTCCCCACTGGGAAATCATTGAGAATACTATTTAAATAGCAGCTGATTAACCAAGGGAAAAAATCTAGATAAACACTGAAAATAGCTAGGTCTGCTCCTTACACTGGAGGTGCTGAGTATTTTCTTTCCTTGCAACACAGCCCACCCGCATGCACAGAATCCTTTCCTTCTTAAAGAGATCCCTGACCCTTCCTGTCTTTCTAATGCTGCAGTCATTTCCATGGCAACAACTTCTGATGTCACAAATAGAATGTTATACAAGTTCAAGCAGGGGATCAGAGGCAGGCAGTGAGGAACAGGTAAGTAATAATCATCAGTTCATGAACCTGCAGAGAGAGAGGAAACAAAACAATCAGTGTTGCCAGTTAAAACGAGAAATATTTTGTATTTGAAATTAAAGTTTGCTGTATTTGTCCATTAAAATTTGCTATTTTTAAAGTGAATCCAGTTTCCAGTAAGAAATGCCAGATTGGCAGTACTTAAGAATGAAGTATTCTGTGCCTAAATATGTGTGGTCATGGCAATTTTCAGTTGATATCTTAATACTGTGCCTAAATCTTCATCAGGTGACCATGTATCTATTCAATATCTATTCAGTCCTTGGCCTGTTAAGATTGCCTTATGGAGTGGCTTTTATCATCTATTGCAGGGCATTAGGATATTGTCTACTGCCCTGTGACTCAAAGCACACCTCACAAACACCATTGCCATTACTTCTGTATTAAATGTACCTTGTGATGGGGTTGTCTGAAAACCAATAAACTCACTGATCAATTGTGTCTGTGAAATGTGTGTCACAATAAGTTATGCATTCTACCTGTATGAACTTAATTGTTCAAACTAGGCAGCCTTGTTAAAAAGGCCTATATTTAAAAAAAATCATGGTTATATAAATGTGCATATAAATGGTAAACCACCATCAAGACAGCATGGAGAGAAGGCTGCAGAAGCCCTAATAGTTTGCATTTTAGCAAACACAAGTAGGGGATCAGAAGCCTCTTTCACCAGCAGATTTCAGGACACTTTCCTCACGTCTTGCATGAACTTTACTTTGAGAAGTAGCCCTCAGAAAAATTATGGTAAAGATTCGCTGAACTAAAAAGGAGAGGGGTAGAAGACCCCATTGATCTCTTTCACTCAAGACAATGGAATCCGCACCTTTGGACCTCTAAAAGTGATTCTAACTGAAATGGAGGGACAATCACCACAGTGCTGGATAAGTGAATTAAAAAAAAAAACACTTGAGCAAACTCGTGAACCAAACACCGAGGGTATATCTACACTGCAACGCTATTTCAGGATACCGAAGGATCCTGCATCTTCACAGCAAGCCCGTTATTTCAAGCTCACTATTCCGACATCCCTGTAAACCTCATTCTACAAGGAATAAGGGACATTTTGGAATAGCAATTTATTTCAAAATCTGGTGCTGTTTAGACAGCGCTAACTGACAAAATAAGCTACTTCAAAATAACATCGAAAGAAGATATGCAATTTGCATACCTGAAATTGCATGGCTTATTTCAAGTTACAGTGCAGTGTAGATGCACTCTGAGAGATTAAGTTTAGATGCATGCTTTCACTTTTATTTGCCTGTAACCATTCCAAACTTTATCACTCAGAATTCTGAGTACAAGTTTATCTTTTTAATAAACTGGTTTTACGATTCATCTAAATCAACAGTGCTTTGTTCATACTAAAGTAAAAATCAGATACAATTAATGTGGCAAGGTGGCATGTTGTGACTCCATGGGTATGTCTAGACTATGTGCCTCTGCTGACAAAGGCATGTAAAATAGGCTACCCGACATAGTCAATGAAGCGGGGATTTAAATATCCCCGGCTTCCTTAAAATAAAAATGGCCACTGTGCTGTGCTGGCTCAGCTGATCATTGGCACAGCATGCGAGTCAAGATGCAGATCAGTCGACAGGGGAAGCCTTTGTCAACCGCTTCTGTAAACCTAGTTCCACGAGGCATAAGGGAGCGGTCAACAAAGGCTTTCCCTTTCGACCGATCTGCATCTTGACTCACATACCTGATCCCAACAAGCATGCAGTCTAGACCTTCCCCAGACCCATTTATTCTGACATATCTTGCCCGTTCCAGCAATGTAAGGAGTAAGAAGATCCATTGCCACTTATGGGTATGTCTAGACTACATGCCTCTGTCGACAGAGGCATGTAGTCTAGACATACCCATAAGTGGCAATGGATCTTCTTACTCCTTACGTTGCTGGAACGGGCAAGATATGTCAGAATAAATGGGTCTGGGGAAGGTCTAGACTGCATGCTTGTTGGGATCACCTGCTAACATTAATCAATGTCTGGTACAGATGAAAAGCATCTCAAAACTGCTGGCAGACTGTTGGATTCAAAGTAGTGAAACTAGAGCTGTACTGCCCACAGAATATGAAGTGCATGTTGGATGCTGGGTGTGTGTGGGGTCCAGGCAGAGAGCCACAAGTAGCGGAAGCATTCTGAGGCACTCAAGGTTAAAATACAAGCAGTGTCACACTCATACTGATCTGAATTGCATGTTAAGCATCAAAGAATAACAATTTTTAATCAGTGAAGATATGAGCTGTATTCCTGGAATTCAGACCATCCACGCCACATCAGACCATTGGTTTCTGGAAAGCTTATTTTAAAAAACTAAAATGAATCCCACTGTTTCATAACTGCTTAGAGTCGTGGTATTGTATGGCCCCTATACCTCTCCCCACATCATATTTCCTTGTTTGAATGAACTCCACCCTTCAAGAACTAGCATTGCTGCAGGAAACACACTGCATGAATTACCTTAATTACGTGGCATCCCAGTAAGTGCAACTCCTGGTATCGACAGAGGGCAAGACCCAGTGCATGCAGCTGACACTGGAGTGTCCCCTGAGTATGCTGTCTGCAATACTCAATCAGGCCTATGCAGTCTGATCTCCATTGTAGGAATGATGGCCTTGGGAATGGCAGAGTGAAAGCTCAACCTTTCGCTTCTCTCCACCTTTCAGCTACCTGACCCATTTTGACATTTCCCTATTTTTAGAGACTAGCAGTGACATTTCTATGCAGGATCTGAAGCTGCTCAAAGTCCATTTCACTGTGCATCGAAAGTCTGCTTTTCTACCAGAGAGAAAATGGCATTGGAGCCCCAGAGCAGCTGCATACATTTCAATTGTGAATGCAGGTCCTGGGGAAATTCATCAAATTCAAATCAATGTGGCCTGCATTTGATAGAGGCAACTGAATTCAGGCATAGGAAACAAATCAATGGCAAGACAACCTTGAAAAAAATCTGTAGCTGGAACAAACTAGAACATTGCAGGTCGAGTGAAGATTGCTAGTGTAGTAAACTGGAAAATACATTGAATCGTGAACACAGAATCGTGAATTAAAGATTTTACTGCAGACCCAAGATATGGGTCAAGAATTTTATTGGACCATAGAAAGATTTGTTTCCATCTTTCCTCTGTGCAGTCACCAGTCTCAAAGACTTTTCCTAGTGGGATAACATCTTTACATTCCATCTGTCCTCTCTGTAAGTCACTTATACTGTATTAAGCTGACATGATTAATTATCCATGGAAGGATTTTCTGGCAAATAGTCTAATTAAACACTTTTGGGCCTCTTATCAAAGGTTATTTTAAATCACTGAATCAGCTGAAAGTAAGCTTTGTAAGATAAAAGATTATGACTGGCTGGAATAAGCAGCGTGAAAGAAAGCTAAATCCTGAATTTGTCACATAAACTTAATTCTGAAGATGTAATAAATTTGGAAAGTATCGAGTACAGGGTTCATTTGCAACAGTCTAAGATATTTAATCTTACAGACTATGCGGGCTAAATAACTGGCAAAAAAGGTGAGGTTGGAAAACATGACCTGTTCTATTAGCAGGTTTTCTTCTCCTTCCCCCTCTCCCTCCACTCTTGAAAAGCAGAAGAAAATCTGCTTCTGGAAACAGCATGCTTTTTTGTTAAGGCTGCTCATTTGTTCAATTTGATAACTTCAGACAGTTTGCTAGGAAAGTGAAAGTAGAAAGGGGAAGGTAACTCTAGGGAAAAAGCAATGAGGGGATGATCAAGGCTATCCAATAACTTCCATTTTGGATAGGATTACCGAGGTCAGTTTATTCATCAGTTTGGAAATGCATGGAAACAGAACGAGCTTCTTTGGAGCACATTGAAAACAGAGCTACTCTGATAAATTTCTAAGCAATTGAATCTTATCAATCACGTCACCAAGGTGATAATTAGGCAGGGATAATGTCAGAAACTGGCACAACAGCTCATCCCAGGATCCAGTGTTTAATGACTTGAGAAGTCTAAGGTGACAGTTCTCTGGTGAGAGCTATGATTCAATAGCTTGAATCCTGAAAGTATATTGCACTCCTCTAGCTTCAAGACAGAAACATTTCAGACTGTATCAAAAACCTTCATTCCACTGCAATTTTCTAGCATAATCATGTCACATAAGGAAACCTGTTGTAAAAAAAAAAGGTGCCGGTATTCCAGGGGAAAAGTTGTTGAGCTCTGACTGGAGGTGCTGGTACTGCGTCTGGAGGTGCTGATACTGCGTACAGGGCAGTACCATCACAAAAAAAGCACTGCTTTGAACTCACCCATTCAACATGTTTAACTGGTTTCTTCCGTACCCACAGATAAATGCTATGAAAGTTTGAGGAGAGGTCAAATCAGATTCAATCTGGGAAGGATTTGGCAACTCTAATTAGAAAACAGCCTAAAGGAAGATATTAACTTTTCATTTTGACTCAGACAAAGAGGTATAATTTCCATTGTACAATGATTGAAATTTTATTTTTAGTAGCACAAATGCAAAAATCAATGTAAACTTGTAAAATATTAAATCTGCTTAAGGCATAAACTTCAGCTAACCTATTCAATAAAGGAGCTGGCACCTGTGGAAAGCACAGGCAGCTGACTCCTTCATATATAGCTCTGATTACTGTCTGGGAAAAAAAAAGCAAGATCACAGTACTAGTTTGGATTAGAAATTTGATGTTAAGCCTTTTGCCTTTAAGTCACTGGCAATCACTATCTGGATGCCAATTTAAATGGCCTTGTGAAATGGGGTATGTCTACACGACCCCCTCATTCGAACTAGGGGGGTAATGTAGTCATTTGGAGTTGCAAATGAAGCCCGGGATTTGAATTTCCCGGGCTTTATTTGCATAAAGCCGGCCGGCGCCATTTTTAAATGCCAGCTAGTTTGGACTCCGTGCCGAGCGGCTACACGCGGCATGGACTAGCTAGTTTGGATTAGGCTTCCTAATCCGAACTAGCTGTACACCTCATTCCAACTCCGAATGACTACATTACCCCCCTAGTTCGAACTAGGGGGGTAGTGTAGACATACCCTTGAAGATTCTAGTAGGCTAGGGTATGTCTACACAGCAACATCATTTCAAAATAACAAGCACTATTTTGAAATAACTTAGCAGGTAGTCTACATCAGGCCTGCACAACATGCGGCCCACAGGGGCTCACTGTGTGGCCTGTGCCAACTACGGGAGGTGCAGCCCCATCCGATCCATCGGCCGGCCGGAGGAGCAGAGGGCCGCCGGGGAGGGGGAAGTGTGGTGATTCTTGTTGCCGGGCTGCCTGCGTGCAGCTCCAGTGCAAGGAGGAGGGGCGTGAGCAAAAAAGCGGGATGTCGGCAGATGCCAGGACACTGACATGACGTGGCATCGTGACGTCACGGGCCAGCAACTGCCGGATTCAAAAAGGCTCTGGCAGCCCCACAACCTGGAAGGCAGACACCAGATAGGGGAAGGGAAGTGGCTTGTGCTGAGGGGAGGGGGGCAGATCAGGAGAAAGGAGAAAGCACTAAGGGGTAGGGTACAGGAGAGACAAATGCCAAGGGGCCAAGTGGAGACACGCGTGGGTTTTTTTTTGCTTGGCAAAAATTTTTAGCCCGCGTTTTCGGTATTTTTTGGGAAAGCATCCCTCCTTGCAGCCCGCGGCTGTTTTCTTTGGAGTAATATGGCTCTCGCCGCTTTCTGAGTTGTGCAGGCCTGGTCTACATAGCAGGTAGTTTTTTCAAAATAACGTCGAAATACTGTCAAGCTGGAGAACTTCTTACTCTGACTCCTGTAATCCTCATTATACAAGGAGTAAGCCAAGTTGGAGAGGGTGCGAGGCTCGCACCCTTAAAACCCGCCACAAAGCTATTTCGAAATAAGCTAATCAATCAACGTAGCTCAATTTGCATAGCTTATTTCGAGTTAAGCCCTGCTGTGTAGACACACGCCCAATGGCCAGATCACAAAAATTCTCTCAGACCATCAAAAGTAGTTTCTTCTCGTCCCCCAGATTCAGAGCAGACACAAACTGGCAATACATTTTAATGAGCATAGGAATTGCCATTCAAGAACTGACTTTGATCTTCAGATGTATTGATCCAGCATCTTTCATAATTAACAATTCTTTTATTCTTTAAATAAATGGCAGTCTGGTAGAATACAGAAAAGGGGATTTAAAAAAACAAAAACAGGCTGTTCCAATAATGAAGTGTTTGTCTTTGCAGAGTTTACAGCAATGTAAATACCCAGATTGTATATACTGACTTAGTTGTATTGAGATCAATGAAGCTACCTGTACTTACACCAGTGTAAGAGGAGGCTTGGAAAACATGGTCCACAGAGTCACATGAAAATCTAATTGTCAAGTTATCCTCCAAGACCTCATTGTAAATGTTACCTGAAAATGATAGGGAGCATCAGATTCCAAAGTAATTGTTTGCCTTTCAGCTATCAGCCATTGGAGAAGATTATTTGTGGTTTGCATCTGGCTGCAAAGAATATGCTATAGATCAAGAAGTGGGTGCTTGGCATTGTGCCACTGCAGTAAAACATTATGGAACAGACAACTCACAGCGGGAGAACTGACTTTTCTGATTGTCCTGTCACTGTAGAAATTCTTATCTGTATGCCACTGAAGGAAATAAAGATATGATAACTAAGAAAATATCTACGGGATAAAAAATACCATTTTTCCAATTCAATATTGAGTTATATTTTTATAAGACCAAGAGAATGATACTTATTAACACCGATTTCTGCATTCTCTCTAGGAAACAGATCATGCCCCCCATTTACATCATCCAAAGGGTGTCCAGGAAACACCCCAGCATTCAAACAAATTACATGCTTGAGAGTGCATTGAAAGCTGGCTCTGAAACTTTATTCCTCATCAGGCTTCTCATCCCAGTGTGTGAAACTCCCCTCATGTAGAAGAGCAATTCAGTGGTCTGCACAAAGTGTGGGCTGTAGTAGAACACACATACCTACCCTGCTATCCCTTCATTTCCATAGGGCTTGGTCAAAAGGAAACACAGGCTCATTTTTATGCACATGGCCAGTATTAAGAAGTCCTGCATCCAACAGGGTGCTAGTTGGCCAGAGAACAAATTGTGGTTAACCTCTGGTGTGAGATGAGCAAGATGTTCAGCTTCAAAGCCACAAGAAATGATCCTGTCAACAAAAGTGTATCTGACCAACTGGATGTGCTAGGACAGGGGTCTCCAACATTTTTAAGCACGAGATCACTTTTTGAGTTTAAATGCAATCCAAGATCTACCTCAAACCCAAATACCCTTGCCCTGCCTCCTTTGTGCTCCTGTGAGGCCCCACCCCTGCTCACTCCATCCTCCCTCTCTCCCTCCCTCCCTTACCCTTCCTCACGTCCACCAGTCTGGGGCACAGGGTTGGGGTGCAGGCTCTGGTCTTGGATTAAGGAATATGGAGCATGAGGGGCTCTGCGCTGAGCCTGGGGCAGGCAGTTGGGGTGTCCGAGGGGGTTCTAGGTGCAGGCTGTGGGGGGGTGTTTGGATGCAGGGGTGCTCGGAGCTGGGCAGGGACTTGGGGTGCAGGATGGAGTTCATGACTGGAGTAGGGTTTTGGGATGTGAGCACCAGCTGGGCACTGCTTACCTAAGGTTACCTCTTGGGTGGTGGCACAGTGGGGCAGGCTTACTCCTGTCCTGGCCCTGCACTACTCCCAAAAGCAGCCAGAAAACTCCATCCCAAATCCTGTTGTGCCCCCTCTCTGCTCTGTGGAGATAGGATACAGGGTGGGAGTGGGGTACCTTGACATCAGTGCCCCCTCTTCTTCCTCCCCTGCCCTGCTCAGAAAGCAGAGTCTCCTGAGGGGACAGCTCCAAGGCAAGGGGCAGGAGAGGTGCAACAATTTGGGGAGGGGAAGGGCAGATGAAGTGCTCGGATTGATAACCTCTTGGCCAAACCTGTCAAGATCACCCGTCTGAGACTCCAAGATCTATCAGTAGATCCCGATCTACTGGTTGGTGACCACTGTGCTAGGAAGTAATCTGACTACAGAGCAATGCAGGGAGTGAATCAAGTGGCTCATGGCACCACTACGAACTCCCTATCTTGCTTCTTATGAAGGATTCAACTGAGAACCAGCACTGAACTCTCAATGGTGCATGACATGCCTAGAAGCCGGAATGACACCTTATAAACTTTCTAATCCCAGTTGTCTTTAATCACAGGTTTGCTGCTCCTGACCATATAGACATTGATAACTTTGGTTACAACATTTCTGGCGCAGCCTATGGTAAGAGCTGTGGGAATTAATTTCAACACAAATATTTGTCTGTACATGTATGTGCTTGAAATAATCTTTAAGCTGTCAATTGAGGTGACAAAGCAGAAATAAAATTAAGAGGAAATTCATAGAAAACATGGGACCTTTCTCCTCAAGGCAGGCAATGAGTCAGATTCAGACTGATGCTTCCAGACTGAACAAATATATAAAATTATGGAGACTGAGCAAAGCAGAGGTCAGACAGAATGAAGGGCCGTGTCCAGACTCAGGGGTTTTTTCGGGAAAAGTAGCCTTTTCCCGAAAAAACTTCCCCTGCGTCCAGACTCAAGCCGCGTTCTTTCGAAATTATTTCGAAAGAACGCGGCTTTTCTTTCGATGGCGGTAAACCTCGTTTCACGAGGAAGAACGCCTTCTTTCGAAAGTTCCTCTTTCGAAAGAAGGCGTTCTTCAATGTAAATAGGGCTTCTTCAAAAGAGAGCATCCAGACTCGCTGGGTGCTCTCTTTCGAAAAAGCGGATTGCTCTTTCGAAAGATCCGCCTGCAGTCTAGACGCGATCTTTCGAAAGAGGCTCTTTCGAAAGATGCTTTCGAAAGAGCCTCTTTCGAAAGAAGCCTGCAGTCTAGACATAGCCAAGGAGAAAATGTAGGTGGGGAACAGGAAAAAAACACGGTGAGCAAAACTGCTCACCAAAGTCAGTGACTTACATTGGAAAACTGCTTTAAGAAGCAAATTGTGACGTGCCAGAATACAGGCCTGACATTCGGAATAATTAATGTCATGCGTAAGGATGTGCGTATCCCCAGCACATCTGTTCTGAGGTCTTCAGTGGTGAATTGCAGCCCACAGAATGTACATCTCTTCTAATTTATAACCCTGTGTATAAAAGAAGGGTAGATGGACCCTGAACTATTATTGCTATCTAACCCTTAGGTTCCCAGCCTAAGTGATGTTATGTACCATCATCTCTAAGGGTATGTCTATGCTATAGGACAAGGTTCAATTAAGATACATAATTTTAGCTACGTTAATCGTGTGGCTGAAAGTTAAAGTACCTTCACTCGACTTTTGGCACTGTCCACACTGCAGCAAGTGACAGTGAGAACTCTTGCCCTTTGACTTCCCTTACTCCTCGTGGAAGCAGGACCACCAGCATTGATTTGAAGGCCCCTCTCACTTCGAATTACCCGTTTTAACTAGACCCGCTAATTCGAACCCTGGAAGATTGACAGCGGCAGCTTCGATCGTTCTCTGTAGTGTAGATGTACCCTCTATGAAATGAACTAAAGGTGCTTAGCAAAGATAGGATTGTTTTCCGTATCTCTCTAAAGGAAGTTTAATGCCTATATTATTAAATGTTGCAGTGGCAGGTGTCACCAGCTAGTAATGCTGCACATTGGAACAAGCTTTTTTTTCCAGGGGTGGGGCAGGAGCTTATGAGTTATGAGCACAGTTCAGTCTCAGAAGAAATGCTGTGTGTTTGGTACCACTATTTCTTTGAGGAAGGTGTTCTAAATAGGAGAGTTTCCTCTTTATTTTTCTAGTACATCTATTATTGGGGCAGAGTTGCACCCAGGAAATCTGCCATTGGTATTAAGGTGGACATTTCTCAAAGAGAGCATTGCCTTCATATTGGACCACGTCAGTTCAAGGACTGGTTAAAAACAAGGGAAGTGCCCAGATTGTACATCACTGATTTCTCCTCCAGCTGGAAGCAGACCCTGCAAGACCCTGAAATCTACAACTACTTGGCAGACCCATGACTCAGATTTGAAGTTCCAGAGAGAACATTGCAATCATCTAGTTTAACCTCCTGCACACTACAGACCATGAAAGTTATTCCATCCCCTTGTGCAATAGATCCATAACTTCTTGCTGAATTATGGAAGTCCTCAGATCATGATTTAAAAATATAGTTGGGGTTGGTCTTGCTTTGGGCAGGGGACTGGACTCGTTGACCTCCTGAGGTCTCTTCCAGTCCTAGGATTCCATGATTCTATGTACAAGTTACAGAGTATTCACCAGTTACTCTAGGTCAACTAGCAAGTGACCCAGGCCCCACATGGCAGAGAAAGAAAAGCCCTAGCATCTCTTGCTATGTGACCTGGGGAAAATTTCTCATTTTCTCCCTATACTTTCTGACTTCCAAGTAGTTGCTTTCTTTGCTGGCATTGAGATTAGGATAGAGAGTTTCCAAGGAGAGAAATTAGGAGCTGGAATCTTCATAAACGGAGATGGAACAAAGAGCAGGAGGTGCTTGCAGAAATTAAATCTTCCGAAGAAGCACTAAAACTGTTGATCTGCAACAAGATGTGAAGAACCTAAATCAGGATGAAGTGGCTTCTCAGAAGGAAAAAGAAAAACAGGATTTGGAAGCCTCTCAGAAAACAGTCAGAAAAAGGAGTTGCATTGATAGCTAGGGTGTCAGTACCAATTTTGGTGGGATTCTCTTCCCCTTGGTTTCATCACTCATGTTCTTTTATTTGTCACAACGCACATGCCGTATATAGAGGAAGAAGTTTGAATATGCAATCTACACACTAGATCGAATTACACTTTTTGTGATTGGTTTGGGTACTTTGCATGAACCCGTGTAGTACAGTCTGCTATACGCACAGTTCATGTTCAACTTACTCTTTACCTCATCTTCCCATTCCTGAATGAACTAGTCCATTGCCAGTGGCTCCCTGGGCGTGCCCCCTCACTTGAGCTAGTAAAGACATTTTGTCTTCAGACTGATGGTCCATTTATCTGCTTCATTCTGTCTTCCTTCCAAAATAAGGTCTCACCCATGTCCAATTATGTATAGCTATAGACCTACCTTGACATAATACTGATTTGCCCTCCAATGGAAAATGGACCTAAAAGGCACCACAATCTGTTGCCACTTAGTAACTTTGGATTAATCTCCTAGCGTAGCCATAGCCTAAGTTCAACTTCTGGGCACCCGATTATACAAATTCTAAGTTCTATATCCTCTCTATGGGGAAGAATCAAATTAGTCTGAGGCAGGCTCCCTTAATGTGGATAACCTACCTCAGATTCAGAGCTCAAGGAAGCACTCTGAGGAGCTGCGTGAGACCTCCTGGAGGCCAATAAGTTCAAATTAGCTGTGCCGGAGCACCCACACTAATGTTATTTTTTAGTTACAAGTTCTGGAATAGTGTTATTCCTCATGAAAACAGGAGTGCAGAATTTTAATTTTGGGGCCCCTTATATAAATAGTAGCTCAATGTCTGTGACTCTGTAATGCTGAAATGCTGGCTGTTGCCTCTAGGTGGCGCTGTTGCCTGTGTGACATCCTTCGCCTCCCGCCATGGTGCTCAGCTGACTTCTGCACCGCTCAGCCAGGCCGCCACGGGGGAGCAAGCAGCGTAAGTGGCCATTTGGGCGCTGTGGTCCCCATGCA